TTTGCAATCAAACAAATCCTAAATTTCAAGAAGGTAAGAGAAAATCTATATTTTACTTAAAACATTAAATTTCATAAAATAAGAATATTGGGGCCCAACTGGTTAGGAGTGCCAATTTTTGGTTTGAAATAATTGGATTTTGGAGAATGGAGGGGTAATGGTTTGATTTAGGAATTAACAAATTAAGACTTTGTCTCGAAGTCCCAATTAAAAATATTCATCCCTTAAAGTGCTTATTTTATTCATCGAGGAACACTTGTTTCAAATTTGACCAACTTTAGACATTTTAAGATTTTGAATAACTTTTTTGGCTAATAATTCTTGGTACAAATGGAACTCTTTCACAAGAACATTCTACAAGATGCTTAGATGTACAACAAGCACACTCATAAATTCTCTATTAAATTATCTTTTCACCAATATCTCCTTTACTTGTGGGGCACTACCCAATTACACTTAGACAACCAAGTCAAGCAAGAGTATTTGAAAATTGTATAGTGAATGAAGCATCATGTATGATGTGCATATGACTCGAGGAATATTTACTTATGTTTGGTATTTAAAGAAGACTTCACTTTTACTGTTTTACATGAGAAATATATTACTTGTGTAGGGAGATAGTGTGTGTCAAGAGAAGATACGGTGCATCCTTAATAGTGATAATATTTGTTTGATACTGGTGTAACACAGTGATACTTTGATGGTTGGTGTAGATTTTCAGACGTTACTATAAAGTTGATCTGTGTACTATTAGGTCTTGTTCTCCATAATACCAAATCAATAGACTTCTCCTTCACGTTGTTGTAATAGTGATAACATTTGTTTGATACTGGTGCAACACAATGATACTTTGATGGTTAACGTAGATATTTAGATGTAAACATAACAAAATTCAAAAGAAAACGTTTTGCCCAATAAAGAAGTTGAGTGATTCTCTCTCACCACACACGAAGTCCATGGCGTAATCGTGCGCACCCGCGCTTTTCTAGTCAACATTCACAATTTTCCATTTGCCTCCTTTGAAGCTTTCAAACCGTATACCAGAATTAAAGATATACATATGTGTAGAGAGAGAGAGAGAAGGAGAGAGGCGAGGAGAGCACGCATCATGGGAAAATGACAATATTGCCGAATGACCCAAAAAAATTATGTCTTGACTTGATACATAAGATAAAGAAGGTATCATCAATTTTGCCTATCCAAAAAGCCATTCAATCGAAATCCAATCATTTATCCGTGATATAAACGCATAATTTTCTTGCAAACCCATCACTAGTTGATTCAGAATTTGGGGAAATTAAGGAAAAATGATGACAATGGAAGGGATGATGGATAGAGGGGTGTTGGATGATATAATAAGGAGGCTTTTGGAAGGCAAAGGGGGGAAACAGGTGCAGCTTTCGGAAGCTGAGATCCGGCAGCTTTGCGTCAACGCCCGCCAAATTTTACTCTCCCAGCCTATGCTTCTTCAAGTCCGGGCCCCTGTCAGGATCTGCGGTTTGTCTTGTTGTTAACTTCTTCAAATTTATTTCTAAAAACTTCTGTTTCTGTTTCTGTTTCTGTTTGTATATGTGTATATTTTGTATATAAGATTGTGTTTTTTGTTTGAAATTAGGATGTTTGGTTGGGTTTCTATGCTCAGTTATGTGTTGGGAATCATGTAATAGAGTAGTATATTTGGTATTGAGAATTTTGGCGTAGGAAATGGGAATATCAAATGAAATTGGAGGTTGAAAGATTGATTAAATGCATTGATATTTTTCTTTTGTGCTTGGTGTGGAAGGGGCCAAGGCCATAAGATTTTAGGGTAGAAATTTTGTGTCAATCTGAAAAGTCTTATCTCGATTCATGAATTGCGATGAAATATTGTTGAATTTGAAACGAGGATTGATATGTTGCATCTTGAATCTTGATTGTGTTGATTGATATCATTCCGAATATAAATTGATTTTGTTTATTTGTCAAAAACAAGTCATTTATTCAAATTGTCATAGTGAAATATATTTAATAAATTGTTATTTATTTCGATACTTAAGACAATTAACTATCAATAGAAGGGATGGTGCTATCAAGTTACTTCGCCCCGATTCCACGTGGTTGTACAAGTGCCTTAATGTTCAAAAGACTATGTTTTATAAAGAATACGATCTCTTTCCACTCAAATGCATACATTTTTTGAGAGTGAGTTACTGTAACCAAGATTTCGATATCAAATCATTAATTTATTGGATACTTAAGCAGTTCTAGGACTGCAGTACGCAACATCATCTGGATCACAAGAAGCTCATTCATGACTCTGGTTTTTCTTTAAGAAAGCAAACTAATTCCTTTGATATGATATGATGAAATATATCATTTAATTTCAGTTTTCCTTCTCTTCTTTGGGAAATCACTTTACATTTCTTGCCTCAGACTTTTCAGTTTATTGATGCAAATGGTCACTTGTGATCAAGATTGCTCTTTTATCTTGAAGGTCGAAATATCGCACTAACAAAGATTCTTCAGACTGTTTTCTTTTAGTTACTCACGCTTTCAACTAAATACAATTTGATTCTTACAAGCTTTTCATCCTTGACAGTATAATCAAACATCTAATTTACAATTAGAACTCGTGCAGAATAGCCACTAAAACCTTCGAGTTTTTTAATATTTCATTGCTCTAATTCTTTGGGGAAAAAAAAAACTATCTTGCAGGTGACATACATGGACAGTATCAAGACTTATTGAGGCTTTTTGAATATGGTGGGTACCCTCCATCCGCAAACTACCTCTTTCTAGGGGATTATGTTGATAGAGGCAAGCAGAGTTTGGAAACCATATGTTTGCTATTGGCCTACAAGATAAGGTATCCAGACCAAATTTTCCTTTTGAGGGGAAACCATGAAGATGCTAAAATCAACCGTATTTATGGATTTTATGATGAATGTAAGAGGAGATTCAATGTTCGACTGTGGAAGATATTCACCGACTGCTTTGATTGTTTGCCTGTTGCTGCACTCATAGATGACAAGATACTTTGCATGCATGGAGGGCTTTCCCCGGAACTAAAACAATTGGATCAGATTAAAGAGATTGAACGGCCCACTGGTATTCCAGATAATGGACTCCTATGTGATTTGCTATGGTCTGATCCTGATCCGAGGATACAGGGTTGGTCTGAAAGCGATAGAGGTGTTTCATGTACTTTTGGACCAGATGCAGTTGCTCAATTTTTAGAGAAAAATGACTTAGATCTCATTTGCCGAGGTCATCAGGTATATAATTTATATTGATAGCATATGTATTGCTCTTTCTATTATTTCTTTCTTTTTCTTTCTTCAATTGGTTTAATGGACATGTTGTTTGCTTATTTAGTACTGCTGCCACTAAAAGAAAGATTAATAAATGAAAAGAAAAAGCTTTTATGGCATGCTAGTAATAATTTATGCCCACACATAAGCCTCAACGGAATAAATGGCTAGAAAATCATATTATCGTCAAGTTACATTTTGTTGATCAAATATTTATTGTGTTATCCCGATTAAGTGTATCCTTAAAGTTCCAACTTACTGGCGCAGAAGTTCAAGTAGTATATTACGTAATTGCAATACTCAAAATAGTTAGGAACCTCACATTTTTATATATGATTTTAGTAAAACTTTCATTGTTTACCATCCCTATTAATCTGAATTCAAGAGAGAAGCTGTTGTGAAATCATTTACTAACAAAAGATTTATACGTTGTTCAAATCTTTTTCTCAGGTAGTGGAGGATGGATATGAATTCTTTGCTAAGCGACGACTTGTAACAATATTTTCAGCGCCGAACTATGGTGGAGAGTTTGATAATGCAGGTGCTCTTTTGAGTGTTGATGAATCATTAGTGTGTTCTTTTGAGATATTAAAGCCTGCTGCAAGCACTTCAAAGTTGCCCCTAAAAAAGGTATATCAACATTTAGTGTTTCTTTTTAACATTCATCTTACACCTTTTTCTGAAAAAGTTCACTTATGTGATTAAACCGGATAACTCTTATTGGTAATTTGATAATCTGTTCTTCCAAAACAGCCCCCAAAGATTGGAAGCATATGATATGAAAATTGAAGCAATGGAAAGCATGGAAAGTGTACATGAACATTTGTCAGAAGTGAGTAGGAAGAATGGAAACCGTGTTTCTTGTTTTTCTCTGTTCATATTTCCGAGGTTTACGTCAAAAGTTGTCTTATTCATCCCTTATCAAATTTCTGTGCTTTGAAGCTTGAAGAATTTGGCCTTGGATTGCCAAGAAAAAGATCTGTAAATTGGAGATGAACTAAGATTGCTTCACTTGGTTAACTTATACAACCTTTGTGTCAAAAATTTATGCCCTCGTTTGGCACCCATTAATTTCTCTTTCTCATTTCCATTCTCATTCTCATTTTTCATTTCAACCACACAATCTCCAAATAAAATAATATTACACACAAATCTAAAACTTTTCATCACTTTTCCACCACACATTCTCCCATCAATCACTATTCCAAAATTTTTCAACCCATTAAAATGGGTGTCAAACANTAATTTCTCTTTCTCATTTCCATTCTCATTCTCATTCTTCATTTCAACCACACAATCTCCAAATAAAATAATATTACACACAAATCAAAAACTTTTCATCACTTTTCCACCACACATTCTCACATCAATCACTATTCTAAAATTTCTATTCTCTTCAAAATTAGATTCAAACACACCCTATACACCCTTTGTTTAATGTATTTTGGTAGGTAGGATTTAACATTTACAATTGATAATGTGATCTTTAATTCCATTTTTGTACATTATTTTCTATTACAACACAGTTTTTCTTTGGTTATGGAATCGCTATTGCAGCAAGTTTGTGGTGTTAAAAGTCTACAGATGTGAGCTCAGATATGAAAGTGGAGGGTAATAAAGCAAAACTCGTAAACCGTTTGATTGCAAGAATGGAATTTGGGTGGAAAGAAAATGAATTATAGGGAATTGAATTGCCTAGAATTATTTTCTTGGAAATTGTCAATTAATTGTGTTTAATTAGTATAATTTTTCACGTGGAAAATATTGAAATTCTAGATCTTTTGTTGTTTGTTTGGCTTTGTTTTACATGGAAATTGTCCATTAAAAGAATAGAATTTGTTACAATTGTGGGATAAAATTTGTTTCTATTATCAAAAAAAAAAAAAGTTGAAAAATCATTTTCCCACCAAAGTGGTGGGAAACCAAATTCAAGGAAAAATGGGTCACGTAGGGGATAGAGTGGAAAACCAAGTTCAAGGAAGATTCTTTCTATCAAACAATGTAAAAGATGGAAAATGAAAATTGATTTCCAAGTTCCATGGGAAATTGGGGATATCAAAAGGGGGGCCTTAAGAGAAAAATATTTGTTGAAATGTA